CCCTTCAGGCCCCTCGGTGAATCCGGGTTTTGGCACCAAAATGTTAGGTCTGCGCCAACAGAAGCCAGGCCAAGAGACGTTGTGAGAGTCTGAGAAATTGTATTACATTCTCCCACGGCGGCTGAGGCCAGTGTGTCGGTGTCAGCACCGAGGGGTGGTTATGTTCTTATATAAGGACTGGGTCATAGGAAGTACAGATAATGGGGCACACGCCCAGGTTGTGGGCTCAATCCCCAGCAGGGGGCGTGCGGGAGGCAGCCGATCAGATTCTCTCTCATCACTGATGTTTCTCTCTCTCGCTCTCTCTCTTCCTCTCTGAAATCAATATAAATAAATAAATAAAGTAAGTAAGTAAGTAAGTAAGTAAAATACATTATTTAGACAGACTGTTCTTTCAGGTAAAAACATTGATTCAGTGCTTCTGTTACTCCCTGATAGCCTCGTCATGCCCAGCTGTCTGTCACTTTTACTGTGCTCTTTCCTGGCCTTTCTCTGTGCTGCTTCCTCTGCCTTGGAAGTCCTCCTTTTTGTTCACATGCAGTGGACTCTGAGGGTTGCCTCTCCAGGCCTCAGTGCTCTCCTTCTAGTAACCAGTTGGAGAGACTGGAAACCTACATGCCTCAGACTCCCATGCACCTATGGTCCGCATTGGAAATACGTTCAGTCAACCAGGTGCGCTCTTGTAAGATTTGCCAGGAGAAGGCATCATCCTGTCGTTATTGCTGCTGGCAAGCCGGGGTTGAGAAATAATGTGAATAGGCATTTAATGCTGTTGGAGCCACAGTCCTGCCTCAGTGTCAGCCGCCAGTTGCAGAGGTGTGAAGAGCAGCTGCAGCAGCAGCACCATCCTGGCTTCTGGAACATAGCCCTGCAGGGGGCCCCTGAACTCCAGAGCCCAGGGGGAGCTCCCGGACTTCTGCGCCTCAGGCCGTCCCAACAATTTTGCAAGCACCTGCTTAACATACCTAGAGTGGCTTCTGTTTCCTGCACTAAACCTTGACTGAGAGGTCACCTACTCAGATTCCGCCTCCCAAGCACAGCCGGGGTCCCCCTGATCCAACAGGCTGGGCTAGGGGCCCCTCTGCCCTCCCACCATGCCCTGCCGGTCCGCCCGAGCCTCTTCGTGTTTCCACCCCTGGCACCAGTGCTTGGCTCACGGCATGTAGCGCGTCAGTATTTACTGAACTGAAACCTCCTCTGCCAAGACACCAGGCAGGTTCTGAAATCCGGTCTAAGGAGCGTCCTACCTCACGCCTGATCGGCGAAGCCCAAAGAACAAGCTGGCGCTAGACTTATGCTGGATTCCAGGTGGACCCAGAGCCTGCAGCTGCTCCACACGTTAGCGCCCCTCAAACACTAGAATTGAAGAGTCAACCTGGTCCCCAGGAAGGGAACGCTAACGAACGAGGGACGTTGTTTATCTCAGTATTTACTCTCTGGTGGTTCTCAGGACCCTCTACTGCTGGGACTGCAATGAGGCCTGCACCCCATGACAACACAGGTGACAGCGTTAGGGAAACCCAAGTTGGAAGGTGTGTGACTGTGGGTAACAAGTTATTTAACTCGTCTGAACCTCAGTTTCTTCCATCAAATGGCGATAATGCCCTCGCTGGTTTGGCTCAGTGGATAGGGTGTCGGCCTGAGGACTGAAGGGTCCCGGATTCGATTCTGGTCAAGGGCATGTACCTCTGTTGCAGACTGGATTTCTTGTCTAGAGGTGTCTGGTCGGGGCTCACGTGGGAGGCAACCAATCAATGTGTCTCTCACACATTGATGTTTCTCTCTCTCTGTCTCTCCCTCTCCTTTCCGCTCTCTCTAAAAATCAATGAAAAAATATACTCCAGTGAAGATTAACAAAAAAATAAAAACATAAAATAAAGTGGTGATAATAACACCAACCTTACAGAACTCTTGGAAGTAAAAGAGATTATATGTCTAACATGCTTAGCACAGTATGTGCACATTGGAAATGCTCCACCCCCATCAGTTGCTGTTATTATGGTCGTCACTGTTGTTAATGTTACCATCACTGGACCACAATTTTGTTGCTACATAATTTTTTCTACATAAATTTCCAGCCCAGATGCCCATGCAATTAGATCAGAATGCACTTTTCTAATACCTTCTCCTGAGGTATTCCATATTACATGCTGAGGTAATTAACCCCTTTTGCAGAAGGTGCAGCCAGGCCCAAGTGTGGGGCTGTACTGAGGAAATAAGAAAACCATCTATGTCAGTGGTTCTCTACACTAGCTGACAGTCAGAATCACCTGGGGAGTTAAAGCAAAACCGCACCAAAACAAACAAACGAAACCAAAAAACAATGTCTGGGGCCCTAAACCACAGATTCTGATTTAATAGGTCCCAAGCACCAGGGTTTCTTAAAGTTCCCAGGGCGACTGTAATGTGAAGGTGAGAGCCACTGCCCAATATGGGAAAGATTAGTTAGTACTTCCATTACGCACCCCCTGGGGGAGGGGGGAAAGAAAAAGGCATTGACTTTCTATAATCGCCACCACCGTGGGGGAGGGGAGAAGACTAAGGATTATAGTTGAATTATTCCACTTCTAATGTGAACAAGACAGTCTCACTATGAACCTGGACAAATGATTCATCATGTTAATCCTCTGGTTAGTGTCTTGGTTTCTTGTCTAGAGGTGTCTGATTTGATGAGGACTCATCAGAAATGCTCCAGGATATGTATGGAATGAGCCTGAAAATACCTGTGAGGGACTGGTGTTGGCTCACAGGTGTCTGTCCTGTGCCAGGGCTGTGCACGCTCTTGGGCTGGCTGCTGATGTCAGGTGCATGCACTTTGATCCAGGGCAAGCGAAATGATCCCTGCTTTGGCATCAAATTTAGCTGGTATCTAAACACTAGTGACAGCTGGGAGTGTGCTCAGACACAAAGTACATCTAAAAAATGTAATTATGTTTTCATTATTAAAATAATATACAGCCGAAACCGGTTTGGCTCAGTGGATAGAGCGTCGGCTTGCGGACTGAAAGGTCCCAGGTTCGATTCCGGTCAAGGGCATGTACCTGGGTTGCGGGCACATCCCCAGTGGGAGATGTGCAGGAGGCAGCTGATCGATGTTTCTCTCTCATCGATGTTTCGAACTCTCTATCTCTCTCCCTTCCTCTCTGTAAAAAAATCAATAAAATATATTTTAAAAAATAAATAAATAAAATAATATACAAAAGGAAATATACAAGATTGGGAAAACAGAAAGGTAGAATAAACCAGAGAAGAAAACAACAGCAACAACAACAATAATAATAACTAAGACCTATATAGACTTGCCAGGTGCTAGACAAGGCTCTAAGCCCTTTGCCATATAAATTCATTTACCCCTCAATACGACACTATGAGATAGATAACTACGTGTATTTCCATTTTACAGATGAGGAGAGAGGTCCTGGGGCTGTTAGGTGACTTGCCCAAGGTGGCACAGCTATGAAAGGCAGAGCCAAGGTTTGGACTCATGCTGCAGTGAACAGGGTATGGTCAACCGCAGATACAGCTCTCATAGGTAAGCTGTGTTCAAGGACTCAATGCCAGTTGCTAAAGTTTAAAACGTTAATCTCAGCCCGGCCAACATGTATCAGTGGTTGAGCATCGACCTATGAAGCAGGAGTTCACTGTTCAATTCCTGGTCAGGGCACATGACTGGGTTGTGGGCTGGATCTCCAGGAAGGGGTGTGTAGGAGGCAGCCTATCAGTGATTCTCCCTCATCATTGATGTTTCTCTCTCCCCCCTCGCTTCCTCTCTGAAATCAATAAAAAATATATATATTTTTAAAGTTAATCTCAGTTGTCATTCATTTATCCATTTGTTTCACAATCTTATTGAAGGCATCTCATCAAGACTGTTCCAGGCTTGATTATTGAGATATTGAAGAGTATACACAGACTACTGCTTATTCATTCCTATAGCATTGAACTCTCAACTGTCTCAACAAAGTAACACATGTATAATCAATACAAGTCTAGTAAGATTAAAAATGCTGTAACTATTTCCTGATGACAGAATCCAAAACCAGCACTTCAAAACTTTTGGAATGTCACACACTTTGTAGATGGGATGGCTAGTTAGCATCATTGTCTGTATTTTCATCAGTTATTAAACTCACTGTGGACAAGAATTTAAGTTGAATTTCATGAACTAGGCTTTGTAGAAACATGTTTAAGATAGCAGTTGTGTCTTCAACTCAGAAATTGGTGTTTTTTGGATGATGGATGAATGGATGGATGAAAGGCTATCTGAGTAAATTAATGGACTAGAATATTTAGCAACATTCAGGGTGCTTAAAAATGCATCTTAAAAATAATTTAGTGTTGCCCTGCTGGCGTGGCTCAGTGTTTGAGTGTTGACCTATGAACCAGGAGGTCAAGGTTCGATTCCCGATCAGGGTATCCCCAGGAGGCAGCCAATCAATGAATCTCTCTCACATTGCTGTCTCTCTCTCTCTCTCTCTTTCTCTCTCTCTCTCTCTCTCCTTCTCAATAAGCTATATTTAATAAAATAATTTAATATATCTCCTTCTCAATAAAAATATATTAAAAATAATTTAGTGTCATCTAGCTTGTTGAATAATAAATTATGACTCAGGAGAAATTTTTTATTTCTATGCTTTCCAATGACTGAATAAGTAACTTCAGGCAAGTCATTATGGGACCAGTTATTTCTGATTGTTGTAAGGAATAAATTAGTTAACATAAACGAATTATTTACTACCCTGCCTAATACATGTTAAATAGTCAGCATATTTTAAACTGCCTTTAAATTGAGGCAATATACCAGTATATTTAAAAAAGCAAAAATTCAAATGTACAAAAAGCTATGCAATGCAAAATAAGTCTCTTTTGGCAAAGTTTTCTGCTGTTGTGACTACTATAATTAGAGACCTCCAAGCAAAAATAACATTTCACTATTATTGATGAAGCAGAGACAGCTTTACAAACCAGTAGATAACACCATTTGAGTCGGAACCATGTGAAATAACACAAGTATCCTGGCTAAATTCCAGTGGGAGTGATTAACATTCTCCAACTTCAAATAATTTTTATTATTAGCCAACACTTGTCCATCCCCAATAAGACACACGTTGCATAAAGGGCACAGAATGAGACAGCCCTCCCCTGGCATGTCCACCGTCTGCACATACTTTCCACTGAGGGGTTCCCTTTCTTTTTGACTGCTATTCCATGGCTTTTCAACGCCCACTACTTTCAACCCTGGCAAGTTTGTCCACTCAGAGTGCCAAGTATTTCCAAAAAACAAAAGAGATAAGATAGGAACACCTGTAGAAAGATGTAATGTCCACGGGAAACATATTTACTAATGGTTTTGATGTTTGTAAAGCTATTGATATTTATTCCTTTTAACTCTAAGGCTGGGATGAATACACATATTCCTCATGGTTTCCCACAAAGCCTTGTTGATAAGTGGGAGGGAGAGGGTTATTCTGCCATTTAATCTCTCAATCTGCACAAAATGGAATCCAGGACACAAGAACAATAACCGCGGCCTATCTCACCCCTTCAGTCCAGTCCTGAGTCCTTCAAGTTCCCTGGCCCTCCAGCCTTTTTTCACCACCTTCCCAGAGGAAGAAGTGGGGGAGTGGGAAACAATTCAGGCCCTCTTTGTAAGCGTCTGAATGAATTTCAAGTATGCTAAACACCTCAGTCTTCCACCTAATTAGAACACGTAGAAAAAGAGGCATTTTTAGGACATTTAAAACTGGCAGCATAAAGACCCATCTGGAGAGCGCCGCTGTGTGTCTCCGCAGTGGGAGCGCCCAGCAGGTCTTCCCTCGGGCAGCGGCTGCCCCGTGCGCCCCCGGCCCTCGGCGGCTGCTGCGGGCAGCTAAGCAGCCTGCAGCCCCCAGGGGGCCAGCGCCCTGCCCATTACAGAGCCCGGAGCCTGCGTTGCTTCTCTCTGCGGGGAACTGCCTGGGATTTTAAACCTCTAATAAAGGATTAACATCTCGCGTCTTGCAAAAACAGGGGGGAAAAATCACTTTCTTGTCACAACCAGATGATTTTGTTAGGAATTGCCAGTAAAGGTTGAAACCTTGGAGATGCCTATTGTACATAGGGGGAGTGGTTAAAAGTGTGGATGCCGCAGCCCAATTACCTAGGTTCGAATACAGGTTTGCCATTTGAGCGCCTATCACGTGCCAGGCGCTCGGAATAGCTCTGGGAACAAGATGGGGCTGAGGTTTTCTTGGGGAACGAGCATTCGCTCGAATACCTTAATTAAGTTTCCTAACCTCTAAGGAGTACCTGCCTCATAGAATTGTTGCAAGGATCTGAGATCTTGTATTCAGATGGAAACGATTAACGCGCGGTCTGGCACACAGTAGGGGCTCAGCAAGCATTCGCTCTTCTCTGGACATGAGCTCACCTGGTATGAGGACAGCACGGAGGGGAGACAGGTGCACGGTTAAGAGTGATTCTTTGAGCGGTTCTTTTAAACAAGCGCTGGACTCAGTAGGAATGCTTAGCTGCGGAGAGGAGCACTGGTAGGGGCCCTGGGAGCAAAGGTTCTGCAGCTAGGACGTTGCAGGAAAGGGAGCCCCGCACCGTGGGCGGCTGCAGACAACTCCCTGGAACTTCGAGCTTAGCGTTTCCCGCCCCGCGTCTCAAGAAGGCGTGATTAGCATTCGCTCCGCCCCTGTCGCTTCCCGCGCCGCGATTGGCCCGCGTTGCTCGGC